TTTTGAAAAACTTTCTGGAATCCTTTTGAACAACTGATCCATATTTTTGCTTGTTAATTTTGCTTTTCTGGTTACAACAGATACAGTCAGAGAAAATGTCAGCTTCATTGAAGGAGCAGCTTGGGTTAATCATGCCTCTTGTTGATGATTTAAAAGCAAAGAAAGATGAGAGAGTTAAGCAGTTCGCAGATATAAAGACGCAAATTGAGAAAATAACTAGCGAGATTTCAGGGTCTTGTAATATTGTCAACTCTTTTAGTACCTTAAACTTGGAAGAACATGACTTGTCGACAAGAAAGCTCTCTGAATGCCAATCCCATCTACGTGCTCTTCAAAAGGAGAAGGTATGTGTGGACAAAATTGTATTTCGATTGTATCTTGTTTCTTAGTTACTTTTTCTCTTTTCAATTTTTATTTTTTCCTAATTAGTCGGTCCCCAAAAGAATGCCATTTTTCTCTATTTAGTACTGTAATAATTTAACTTTAAACTTCTCATTTTCCCTTAATGAGATGATTTATGGCCACACTAATATATATGACTTGTTTCAGACCACGAGTTCCAAAAGTCTTTCTTTCATTCTTTAAACTCGTGTTCCAGTTCAACACCATCACATAAATTGGGATGGAGGGAGTAATATTTTTAAATAATGCAATAACGATTTTCTTTTCTGCTGAAGCATCTTTGAAACATTGTGAGAGACAGGTTTCTTTAAGTTATCTTCTTTGCTAGTGTTCACTGGTTTCCCTAGTGGTTATGTTTAGATGTTTGTGTATCATTATTCTCATGATGTATACAATTCTGTAAGTTGCCTTGTCAACTTGGTCCATGGATGTAGCTTACTTCCCATTTCTCTTCTATCTCATTAGTCCAGTTCTATAGGGTTCAGGTCATCTACAGCACTCTTAAAAACTTTACAGTATATAACTGGAGATCCTTTTTTTGCGTTTATGTGGTTCAGCATGGCATTCTTAATCATCATGAATGGTGCATTTTTGGTTTATCATAAGACACCTCTCTTTCTTTTAGCAAATTGAATAATGATGATTGCTTCTGCATGTAGTCTGTGCGTGTCCAAAGAGTTCTGGACAGTGTGAATGAGGTTCACACATTGTGCGGTGTACTTGGGCTGGATTTTGGTGAAACTGTTAGCAATGTGCATCCAAGCTTGCACGAGACAAGCATGGGACAGTACACAAACATCAGTGACAGCACATTGGAAGGTCTAGACCAGGCTATCCTTAAACTGAAAACAGAAAGAAAAGTTCGATATCAGAAGGTATTATTTTCCTAGATATGGTACTGTCTTTTCTTTATTCGCTATCTAATCTCATCAATAATGCAGCTAAAGGACGTGGCGGGATCTCTGTTTGAGCTTTGGAAGTTGATGGATACAACGAGAGAAGAACGGCGTAAGTTATCAAGGATCATTTCCTTTCTTGACATTTCTGAATCAAAGGTTGTGGAACCAGGTGCACTTACGTTGGAGGTTATTCAACAGGTGTGCAAGCACTTTTTACCTCTTAATTTTTCCCTATTTCTTGGTCTATTCTTTTTTCCCCTTTATTTCATTTCCGCACACATTTTTTTTCTCCTAAAGTTATGTGACACAAAAAGTGATTCCAATGAGAAGGACTATTGAAGAAGAGAGTGCACATACCAGTTTAGTGGGCTTATTTTTCCAAATTGTAATCATTAATAGTTCCTATATATATATTTGCAGAAAGAATTGATATTGTTTTTGACATTGCTAGGTATCAGCAGAAGTTGGGAGGCTTACCAAATTGAAAGCAAGCAGAATGAAAGAGTTGGTGATGAAAAGGAGGGCAGAACTGGAGGATTTGTGCTGTAAAACCCATATACAACCTGATTCAAGTACTGCTGCTGATAAATCCAGTGCAATGATCGACTCTGGTAAGATGTCTGACTTGGATTCATTAAGTACTTTGTTCATCTGAACTTCAATGCAGGGAAATGAGCTCAATCTCCATTTAGGTCTTGTGGACCCTTGTGAACTCCTGGCAAATATTGAAGCACAAATAAACAAAGTAAAGGATGAAGCTTTAAGCCGAAAAGAAATTATGGATAAGATAGAGCGGTGGCTTTCATCATGTGATGAGGAAAACTGGCTTGAAGATTATAACCTGGTAAGTATAAACTACTTCCATTCGATTCCTGTAGCCAATCTCTGTTTCCTACTAACTAACGCTTCTAGTAACTTTAGTTTCTATTGTTGACAAAAACTTTACATCAACTATAGTTTGATTAGTTTTAAATTGTCAGGATCATACACGTTACAGTGGTGGAAGAGGTGCTCATATAAATTTAAAGCGAGCAGAACGAGCAAGAATTACAGTGACTAAGATTCCAGGTATTCTACTCTAGCTTATTCGGTGGTGTCATTTAAGCTTGTATCATTGACACAAAGTGAATCCATGGCTTTTATGCTCAGGTATGGTTGACAGTTTGATTAGCCGGACTCTAGCTTGGGAAAATGAGAATCAGAAGTTGTTTCTGTATGATGGGGTGAGTTCTTTTGCAGCTAAGAAACTTCTAGATTTTTTCTTTTGTTTCTGCTGTTGGTCAAGTGATTTTGCTGTACTTGTAGGTGAGATTGGTGTCAATATTGGAGGATTACAAAGTGAGTCGACATCAGAAAGAAGAGGATAAGAAACGTGCCCGGGTACTGTCATTACCCTCATTTACTAATAAATGCTGAATTCTTATATCAGACGTGTATCTAACGGAATGCACGATATCAAAAAATTAACTGGGAATTCTTATGTTGTATAATAACGAAGTTCTACTTGCTGATTTGTCCTTGTACTAAATGGGCGCTTCAATTGAGTCTAACAGATGAGGGAATGATATTAAGTAGGGAGTTTCTTAGCCCATTTGATTTACAAGTAATGATTTAAAAATATATGTTATTATCTTTTCTTTTACACAGGATCAGAAGAAACTCCAAGATATGCTTCTGGCAGAGAAGGAATCTATATATGGTTCTAGACCTAGTCCCAGAAGAAGCAACAGCTTTAGGAAGACGAATGGATTCCATACAAATGGAAATGGGTCAGTCACTCCCTCACCACGCCGAAACTCAGTTGGTTGTGCAACTCCAGAGCTTCAAACACCCCGTTCTTACTCTGGGCGGCAGAATACCTATTTCAAGGAAATGAGAAGGCTTTCTACTGTCCCTCTCAACTTTGTGGCTATGGCAAAGGAAGATACCATGTCATTTTCTTCGATTGGCGGTTCTGAGCCCGAATCTCCACCTCAAGGCTGAATTCACAGTCGGTAAGCTTGTCCCATTTTTTTGCTGCATTTCTTTTAATTCCGGAAATATTATCATGTAAAATTCTGCTATCACACTTTGGGAGGACTTCAAGATCATCTTTTGAGATGTTTGTAGATAAAAAGCACTTGTGTAGGTTCTTTTGCTCTCTCTATAATTTCCCCACAATTACCATCACGAGTTCCTTGTAGTAGACAACCTGGTTTAAGTGTAGAAGGGCGTAGAAATGGCTCCATTATCTACTGAGTTTTGAACTGCGTGCTGTTGGCCCTCGGGATATTTCATTTATTCAAAAAGAAGTAACCAATCCTGTCATAGTTTTACGTTCCCCTTTTTTACTATACCGTAATATCTCTGCTTCAAGTGTGAAGTACATATAAACTGCATAAATGCTTAATGTTTCGCGTTACACTTGGATGTCTTATTTCAACTTTAAATCAATTGCACCTCACCATGTTTATGTCTTTGCAGGGACATGATCACATAATCCAAGGCCACATATAACCTCATAATTTGTGAATACTGAAGGGGAGTGTACACTACTGTAATTCTGTTAGGCTGTTCTAGGCACTTGGTAACTTTTTTGCTAGTGACTTTTGCTGGTTACTATAGATATTGTTTGTGGATATAATAGTGACATTAAAGTTCTCTGTTTAAATAGATGTTCACTGATCAATATGTACCTTGAGCTTCTTTTTTGTTGTTGGTGATTTGCATGTACATATACTGGAATGTGATTGCTATGAATTGATTAGGAATCCTTGTTTATTTAGGGTTGTGTAATCATAGGACCACTTAAGATTTCTAGCTCCCAATAAAGTTTGTAACATTCAAATGCTCATCTATCATATCTACTCATGTTTGTTTGGGTGAAATTGAATTCTCTCTAGTGTTGGGATCATTTTTTTCCTACTCTAAAAAGGAACAATCTCGATTATCATATTATTTTGATGTTTATGAATATTTTATGTAATTTTATAACAATAATATTAATAACATATTTTGCGTAACTTCATGGAAAAAACTCTAAAGATATACAGTATCTTTTATTTATCTCAAAGAATAAAGATTCGAAATTACATTTGCGGGTTTGAAAGCCCAAAAGAGGGCTTGACTCTTTGGGTGGGAAGAACTAGTTGTTGTTGCAACAACAAATTCATATAGACCTCATCGCTACCTTTGCCTTAAAAGTAAAGATATAAAATTGCATTCGTGGTTTGAAAATTCAAAAAAGGGATCGACTCCTTAAGTGGGAAGAACTAGCTATTGTTATATCAAATTTGTACAGACTTTACCTTACCTCTACCTTGCCTCAAAGACAAAGATTTGGATTCACATTTGCAGTTTCAAAGTTCAAAAGAGGGCTCGACTCATCTGGTGGGAAGAACTAGTTGTTGCAACAATAAATTTGTATAAACCTTACCTCTACCTTACCTTGTCTCGAATGCAAAGATTGGAAATCACATTTGTAGTCTGAAAGTCCAAAAGAGGGCGCAACTCCTTGGGTGGGAAGAACTAGTTGTCACAATTGGAAATCCTCCACCCAATTCGCATAAAAATGAGTTAGACGGTTTCAATAGACTCTCGACCTAAGAAAAAAATAATCCAAAACATGATAAAGTACATGAAGCAGCGATTAATAAAATATAAACTATGACAAAATAATATAACAATTGAGATATAAGAATCAGTAGTATAAGTAACCAAATAGTGCAATTTGTGTAATTTTGGCTTATAAATGGGATAACATAAAATCTCAAGGTCCGGGTACCCACCATGGTGACCCGGCGGCGGATATTCAATAAATACCTGATCGCCGGCGTCATTGCCGGCGCCGGAGTTACTTTCCAAGCCCTAACCTCTAACTCCTTCCTTTCTTCCATTGATTCCCCTTTCATCAACGGCGTCGTTCGCTCCTCCCGAGCTCTCTTCACCATAACTTCCACTGTCATCGACTACAAGTTCTCACTATACGGACTCAATCCTCACACCGACGACTATCGCCTTACTCTCTCCGAACTACATCTACGATCAGCAAAGCGAATTCTAACGATGTGCGAAGCAAATAAAGGTATTTACATCAAAGCAGGTCAGTTTGTTGCTGCCATTAGGCAAGTACCAAAAGAATACTCAACAACACTTTCTTCATTACAGGATCATGCTATTCCTTTTCAGTTTGAATCGATTAAGCATGTGTTAGTTAGTAATTTAGGTTTAAATTGTTTATCGGAGTTTTTTTTCTCCTTCGATGAGGTTCCGGTTGCTGCTGCATCTATTGCTCAAGTACACCATGCTGTTTAGTAAAGACCGTCAGGAAGTGGCGGTGAAGGTGCAGTATCCTGGATTGGAGTATCAAATGAAATTTGACCTTGTAACTATGTCTTTGTTGTCGAAATCAGTTGGATGGATCTTCCCTGGATATAGGTTTCAATGGCTTGTAGCGGAATTTGAAAAATCTATTGCTTCTGAGCTTGATTTTATTGCAGAGGCTAAAAATTTGGAGAGGATTAGGGAAAATTTTAAGGATAATTCCATGGTTAGGGTTCCGAATGTGTTTTGGGATTTTACGACAAGGCAGGTTATGACGATGGAGTTTTGCAGAGGTCGTAAAGTTGATGACTTGGAGTTTCTGAAGGAAAGAGGAATTAGTGAAGTCAAGGTTGCGAAAAGTTTGGCAGAAGTATTTGCAGAAATGATTTTTGTTCATGGTTTTCTTCATGGGGATTTACATCCTGGTAATATATTGGTTTCTCCTGAAGGGAAGAATGGATTTTCGTTAGTGTTGTTGGATTTCGGGATTTGTAAACAGTTGAATGAGGATTTCCGATTGAAGTATTGCGAGCTTTGGGAGGCTTTGGTAGTTAAGGACTCAGCTAAAATCCAGGAGATAGGAGAATATTTTGGTGTTGGAAAGTACTCAAGATATTTCCCTGTCATATTTACCGGAAGAACTATTGACAGTAAATCCACACTTGGGGAAGGGATGTCTGTTGAAGAAAGGAACAACCTGAAGCAGGAACTGAAGTCTCTTAAAATGGAGGACATATCCTCCTTCATGGAATCTCTGCCTACTGATTTTCTCACAGTATTGCGGACTGATGGGCTCCTAAGATCTCTGACGAGCAAGTTGGGTGCTCCTTTGCGAGTCCGGTTACTAGCATATGCTGAATATGCACTATACGGACTTTCATTGAAGGCTGACTCTAAATCTGATTCTGCCATAGAAGTTGTGCTCTTTAGATTCAAGATTGGCCTCCGATACATCCAACTAAGAGTCCTGTTTGGGATATTGGGGCTTGTTTCATGGTTAGAAAACATCAAACACACGTCAACTAGGAGGTTTAAAGATTTTCTTGCCTCAGCTGGTTTTGTGGTAAGGAACTTGTACCGTCCTTTATTGACCGCATAATTAAGTCTGGCCAGTTGTAATAGTGAAGAAATTGTCTCATTTACATTCATTCACTTCTTAAGAAGCTTTCCTAAACAAATTGTCTCTAGGTGGTACACTATAATTCTAGAGAGGAAAGTCTGTTTCTACGAACTCCATCCGATCATCTACAATTGTTGTGTCATGTCTAGTCTAAAACTAGACGAAAACCTGTATAGTCAATTGCAATTTTATAGTAATATTTTCTCCTTCAAAAACTATTGGATCTTTTCTCTCATTGGCATCATGTTCTATTATATGCAGCACAAGTAGGGATTGCCCTACATAAAAAAGTTGATTTCCCTTCGAGCATTTGTTAATGTTGTATCTTCTTGTTAGCGCAACTATATAGACATGATTTTTACCAATTACAACGAGTACTTTTCAACAATATTTTAGCCAATCTTTCACACTAGAAATTTGTGACCTGTTGTCTTAACTGCACTCAATAGAACACAACTAGATTTCTGACTCTCACCACCATATGCTGTTTGTAGAATTTAAATTTTCTATGGTCGAGAATATATATTGGTCATTAAGCTCACAATGGGCTTTGGACTTGATGACAATACCCAAGGATTATACCGAGGGAAAATAGGTAGAATAGTGCTTATTAAGCACCATTTGATAGCTTATTATCGGAGTTATGAGGTTGTTGCTTTAACATATACTGTTAGAGGCTGCTGTAATGTAAACAGTTTTCACGAAAACTGATGATAAATAAGGCCATGGAAAAGCAATCTGGAAGTGCTTTGTCTCAATCAGTTATCGCAGAAAGAGCAAGAACTACAGTGACTAAGATTCCAGGTATTCTACTCTAACTTCTTCAATGATGTCACGTAATCCTGGATCATCATCGGTAGAAATGGAAGTCAATGGCTTTTTACGCTCAGTTATCATTGGCGGTTTGATTAACAAGGCACTAGCTTGGGAAGATGAGAAACAGAAGTGTTTCTGTACGATGGGGGTGAGTTCTTTTGCAGCTGTGCTGCCATGGGAATGGGATGAATCACAGTTACCATCTTCTGGCTCACAATGAGTGATGAAAAACAACACATGAAAACCAAGAAAGTTGCTAATTAAATACCTGTGAACGCGATCATCCCACAACTGTATTTGTCCTTGTGACGCATATCCAGATGACTGTTAAAGCTCATTGAAGGTTGCTATACCTCCTATTTACATCTTATTATAATTGGAAGAGAGGACCGTGCTTCTTAACGTTCGTATAGTGCTGTAAATCTATAGCTATTTCAATGTAATTATGATGGTCTCTTCTTTCTCAACATGATATTAGTTCTAATGACAATGATACAATTGAAGACATCTAATTTTTGATTTCTTAGAGAAGGATACTTAGTACTTTGTGACTATGAGTGATGATTGTTCTCAAATGGTTTGGATGAAGGTACATGAAAGTCATATGCACATATACAAATACAACATCTGATGCAGTTTCTTGAAGTGAGAAGTAACAGAAATACTTGAAAATCAAGTCTATCTTGTGATATGCGCGATGAAAGAATCCAACTCTATTCGAGAAGCTCCCCCTTTCTCTGTGGACTTCCTTACAACTTCTCCCAATTCTTCTGCTCTTTTTCTAATCAGGTCTCCTTCTTCTGATGCCATCAACTTCCTCACGACATTCTCAATAGTGGATGCACTTACTAGCTCCTCGCGTTTCTCCCATTCTCTAACAAGCAGGCCTGTTTTCAGTATTTCTGTCACGAAGAAACCATTTATTGGTTGATCAGAGTGCATAGGCCAAGCAGCTATAGGCTCTCCCATAGTTATACTCTCTATGCAAGAATTCCATCCACAATGACTCATGAACCCGCCTGTAGACGAATGAGCCAAGATTTCTGGTTGTGGTGCCCATTCTCTTACCACTAACCCGACCTCTTTTACTCTTTCCTCAAATCCTTCAGGCAACTCAACTTTTCTAGCTTCCCCTTCAAAGATATCTCCTCTATCGGCGTCTCTCAACACCCCATATGAACCTCTGTTTACTCTGCTCTAACCCCATCGCGAGCTCCTTGATTTCCTTATCAGAAAAGGAAATTGTTGTTCCAAACGATATAAAAAGAACTGATCTCGGAGGTTGTTTGTTCAGCCACTCCAAACATATATCGTTCCTATTTGAGATATGATGGAGTTTAGTAGGCAGAACAGGTCCAATTGCCCATTGCTTCTTGTTCAGATTAGTTTCTGCTTGTTCCAACAAATCAAGTAACTTGCCTTCATTTACTTTGCTTGTGTTATGGATATCACCTGATCTAATAGCCATATACTGATGCTGATAAGTCGAAAAGTCCCTGGCTTCATCTGCCATAATTCCTTCAAGGGAGGGTACCTTTTTAAGCAAATTTTCTTCATGTTGTATAGATATTCCACCAGATAAGCTTAGCCAATGGAATGAAGTGAAGACTGAAATGCAGTTAAATACATAGGATTCAACATTGGGCAAAGAAGAAACATCCTGAACATTATAAGACATTAAAGGATCATGAACAACAATGACTCGTCTTGCTTTTGATGAGATATCGCGTAAGAAAGAAGCAATGGGCTCGCGAAGAAGCATAGAAGCATCCCACGATGGCTGAAGATGTGATGGGAATTTGCTCAAGGCATTAAAGTCAGGTGATGGTGAGTCAAATTCAGGAGTTGGAAGGTCATGGAAGTGGACTTTGGCTATGTCTGAAGGATTTAAGGCGTTGGCTCGAATCCTAGCTTGACGATTATGAGTGGCCGAGCCAACATAGTAGACAGGAAGACCATAGGACGAGATTAAACATGAAAGTTGAAGAAGTTGGTTGAGATGGCCTTGAGCTGGAAATGGAACCATAACTATAGTTACTACATGGTTTGGTAAATTCTCACAGCTATACATGGAAGACGACAAACCGGAGTTTTGTACTTCTGTTGGATCCTCTCCTGGTTGAGTTTGTGTCATGGTAGAAGCTGGGAAACAACTTTTAAGTCTATGAGAATTGTTTAAAGTAAACAAAAGAGAGTCTTGGCTATGAACCTTTCACCTTATTACAAGACAAAAAGACAAATTATATGACAAAAGTTTTGATGTGAGGATAGAAAAGTATGTGGTTCTGAAGTATTGTGAGCAAAGTTTTCCAAGCTAGTAGTATCAACATTCTAGATTTTTCATTTTTGTTTGGGTAAATTAAAATTGTAAAAATAAGCCAAAAGCCAAAAACCAATCCAAACATGCAGAGCCCTCGAACCTTATACGAGTGTATTCCTCCAGAGTTTTGGGAATATTTGAAGACACAAGTTAATCCCTTTGTTGGGAAAATCAGCTTTGATGAAATTATCAATTCTTTCTAGCGTATTTGACAGTTTGAAACTATGAACTTTAGGTCCATTCCATCCCCTGGTGTTAAGAGAGGAAAAAAGACTCCATTAAACGCCACGAGTCCATGGAATAGCTTGACAACAAGAACCAATGTATTAGGGTCAGCCAAGGAAATTCTGAACTTGTAACTAAGTATCTGAAAATTGGACCAACTGTTAGGCCATGGACGCGTAGAGATGAACATGTTACATGAGAGATGGATTCTTTCATAGTATTAATGAATAGCTGTATCAAGATTGTGGTATCAAACACTTTCAACCAACTATAGAATTCGAAAGAGCTGGTTTCATGGACAACATTTGTTTTATTTATGCGTAGTTGATATCTCAGATATTCACTCAACTACTAATACTTATAATCACAGAATTCATTTTATTTTTTGAGAGACCAATAGAATTACATGGAAATGGATACAGCACCACGTCCGAATAGAAGGACTATCTCTTTAAAATTAGCGTTGAGCAAGAGAGGTGGTTTCGATAGACAACTCTAAAGATGCTTTTTAACTCCAATTAGAACAAATAAACAGATTAAGGTAGTCAAACATTTATTCATGTTAAAACCAGATTAAGTATCTGTTAAGAGAGAAATGCAAAGCAATCATCTCATTGATAGGCATAAAAGTTTATAAGATACTGAACATTCCAAGATCAAATAAATGTAAGGTAGTAACCAAGATACTTGAAGATGAAGTCTATCTTGTGATATGCGCGATGAAAGAATCGAACTCCATTCGAGAAGACCCCCCTTTCTCTGTGGACTGCCTTACAGCTTCTCCAAATTCTTCTGCTCTTTTTCTAATCACATTGCCTTCTTCTGATGCCATCAACTTCCTCACAACATTCTCAATGGTGGATGCATTCACCAACTCCTCGCGTTTCTCCCACTCCCTCACAATCAGGCCTATTTTTAACACTTCTGTCACCAAGAAACCATTCATTGGTTGGTCAGAGTGCATAGGCCAAGCAGCTATAGGCACTCCCATAGTAATACTCTCCATACAAGAATTCCATCCACAATGACTCATGAACCCGCCTGTAGACGAATGAGCCAATATTTCTGGTTGTGGTGCCCATTCTCTTACCACTAACCCGACCCCTTTTACTCTTTCTTCAAACCCTTCAGGCAACTCAACTTTCCTAGCTTCCTCAGTAAAGATATCTCCTCTATCGGCGTCTCTCAACACCCATATAAACCTCTGTTTACTCTGCTCTAATCCCATCGCGAGCTCCTTGATTTCCCTATTGGAAAATGAAGTTGTTGTTCCAAAAGATACATAAAGAACTGATCTTGGAGGTTGTTTGTTAAGCCAATCCAAACATATATTCTCCCTATTCGAGATACGATCTAGTTTAGTAGGCAAAACTGGTCCAATTGCCCAATTTTTCTTGTTCTGATCACTTGCTACTTGTGCCAACAAATCAAGAAACTTACCTTCAATTACTTTGCTTGTATTATAGATATCACCTGATCTAATATCCATATACCGACGCTGAGAAGCTGAAAAGTCCCTGGCTTCATCTGTAGCAATTCCTTCAAGGGAGGGTAGCTTTTTAAGCAATTCTTCTTTATGTTGTACAGACATCCCACACGATAAGCGTTGCAAACAGAATGAAGTGAAAACTGAAATGCAGTTAAATACATAGGATTCCACATTGGGCAAAGAAGAAACATCCTGAACATTATAGGACATTAAAAGATCATGAACAACAATGACCCGTTTTGCTTTTGATGAAATATTGCGTAAGAAAGAAGCAATGGGCTCGCGAAGAAGCATAGAAGCATCCCACGATGGCTGAAGATGTGATGGGAATTTGCTCAAGGCATTAAAGTCAGGTGATGGTGAGTCAAATTCAGGAGTTGGAAGGTCATGGAAGTGGACTTTGGCTATGTCTGAAGGATTTAAGGCGTTGGCTCGAATCCTAGCTTGACGATTATGTGTGGCTGAACAAACATAGTAGACAGGAAGACCATAGGAGGAGATTAAACATGAAAGTTGGAGAAGTTGGTTGAGATGACCTTGAGCTGGAAATGGAACCATAACTATAGTTACTTCATGGTTTGGTAAATTCTCACAGCTATACATGGACGACGACAAACCGGAGTTTTGTACCTCTGTTGGATCCTCTCCTGGTTGAGTTTGTGTCATGGTAGAAGCAGGACAACAACTTTTAAGTCTATGAGAATTGTTTAAAGAGAGAAGTATTGAAAACATACTTAAACTCAACATGAATCATTAGTTTTATTCCCGAGCTATTGATAGCCTTAAATACACCCTCGATCTTGCAACATGAGTGAAATACTCCTCTAAATTCTCGCTAAGTTTAGGTGTGTTTTCAACACTTTTCTCAGCTTTTAATTAAGAACTCCTTACTCCTATAAGAGTTTGAGACCACTTGCTATGTCATGTGGTAGATCGGGGTGTATCTTAGTTTAGTTAGTCAAGTAAAGTGTATTTTTAAAGCTGTCAATAGTTTAAGGATAAAACTAATAATTTGCGCCTCAAGGATGTTTTCTATACAGAAATCAATCTTGGCTATGTAACTTTCACCTTATTACAAGACAAAAGGACATTATATGACAAAAAAAATTTGGATGTGAAAGAAAAGTATGTGGTGCAGATTGCAGAGGAATTGTGACCATTCACCATAGTTTTGGAAACTAGTGATAATTGGTCTTCTAGATTTTTTTCATTTTTGGTTTCTCTTTTTAAGTATTTTGTTTACTTTATATATTTGTCAGTTTTTAAAATGATCTTGTAATGCTCCAGGACTACATAATATCAGAAAACACACACTGTCTGTCTAAAGGAGTACATTTTTTTTGGCATAATTTGTTTCGACTCAAAATGTTTTATCCGATGTTTGATATTCATTTTAGAGTTTGACTAATCCTAATTACGGACAAAAAGTCTCACTTTGAAAGGTACAACACTTCATGCCAAAGGTGATTTCAGATTAAAGCTCGAACCTGATGCCTCTGGCTAAGGATAGTAATTAAGTTAGAGGGCATAATCCTCCAGAGTTTTGGGAATATTTGAAGACACAACAAGTTTTTACTATTTGGTGGGAAAATCAGCTGTGATGAACTTTTCAATTCTTTCACTGTGATTTCTCAGATGTTCATTCAACTACTAAAGTACTAATAGTTATTATCGCACAAGTCATTTTCTTTATCGAGAGACCAACAGAATCACATGAAAATGGCTACAGCACCACATTATACAAATAGAAGGACTATCTCTCTTGCCAAGATGTAAATAGTAAACGTGAAAAGTAAAATGGAAATGAGGAAGTACATCAACCTTCATTGAATTTCACAGTTTCCTGGACATTCATCTCAAGGGTAAGCACATTCAATTTTCATTAGTTGTTGAGAGCTAGAAGATGGTAACCGCGATTCATGTGATTCCCATGACAGCACAGAACCTGATGTAGAGTTGATATGGTAAAGGTAGAAGGCAATAATCATGATAATAACTATGGTGTTTTTCGACATGGCTCAAGTTTTAGAAGTGAAGGCTAGTTTGGTGTTACCTAAATGCTCAATTATAACAAGGCTTTAACAAGTGAATATATATAATGTCAGTCTGTTCATGATATTATTTAATTTACTGTCATGAACTAGAAACTATGCATTAAATATAAAGTTAAAATGCTAATTGTAAACACATCTGAGGAGCAAGATCCTAATTATCAGCTGGTGTTGTTGAAAATTCCAAATTAGTTCAACATGTATTATTTACAAGGTAAAAATAGCTGGACTTATGTTAAATTTTAATTTGCTTATTATATTGGATAACATGTCTACAAGTTCAAAGTTTCATCACCATTGAAGTCAACATGTATTTGATATTATAATGAATGTTTGCTCATCAATAATGGTGATGTTATCCAAATTAGTTAGCAAGTTTGAAAATTTCACATGTTTGCATCACATTTAACCATTTAAATAATACATGTACAGGTCTGAAAGTTAGGATCTTGCTCGATCGTCATGTGTGCTTTTAAAATTGGCGTTGAGCATGAGAGGCTGTTTCCGATAGACAACTCTAAAGATACTTTTTTTACTCCAATTAGAACAAATAAACAGATTAAGATAGGCAAACATTTATTCATGTTAAAACCAGATTAAGTATCTGTTAAGAGAGAAATACAAAGCAATCATCTCACCCATAGGCATAAAAGTTTAAGGTAGTAACCAAAATACTTGAAAATCTAATGACAATGATACAATTGAAGACATCTAATTTTTGATTTCTTAGAGAAGGATACTTAGTACTTTGTGACTATGAGTGATGATTGTTCTCAAATGGTTTGGATGAAGGTACATGAAAGTCATATGCACATATACAAATACAACATCTGATGCAGTTTCTTGAAGTGAGAAGTAACAGAAATACTTGAAAATCAAGTCTATCTTGTGATATGCGCGATGAAAGAATCCAACTCCATTCGAGAAGCTCCCCCTTTCTCTGTGGACTGCCTTACAGCTTCTCCCAATTCTTCTGCTCTTTTTCTAATCACATTTCCTTCTTCTGATGCCATCAACTTCCTCACAACATTCTCAATAGTGGATGCATT